CAGGCTAAGTGCATTACGGTTCAGCCATAGGTATCATTCCCTTCACAGTGCAGCACTTTAGGAGAACCAAATGTTCGTGATAAAACTTCAGAAAGACATATTGACTCTTACTACCAAAAGAGTGGCACAGGTCGCATTAGACTGTTGTAATCAGGTCTTTATTTCCCAGGCAATCCCGAAGCATCTCACTTTATGTGGGAGAAGAACAGTTAGTGAGAGAATAGTTAATATTGGCCTTTGTCAGTTTTCATAGCTCCTGAACTTGGTAAGTTGCTTAATGTTTTTCGTAGCTTAGGTACTGATTGACCGCATCTTTTACTGTGTGTACAGTGGCATCTTGTGGCCATGGAGCATACAGCATTTACATTTTCTCTAGCTTGCTCGGGTTGTTTTCTGAGTGCTCTGATTAACTGTGCTTCTGTTATTCCGCTTTTTTCTGCATTCCATAATATGTCTTTTTGATCCTTTTACCTTTCACTTGTCTATGCCTTTATATTTATTATGCATTTTTTATAAATAGCATTAGGGGGGCAGGGAGATAGCACAGTAGAATAAGCACTTGCCTGGCAAGCGCAAGGGCCTGAGTTCGATCCTGGGTTCCGCCAAGAACTGACTAAATAAATAAAAATAAATGAATAGCATAAGGCTTCTTTTCCCTCCTGACATTTTCTAGATTCTAAGGGAAGCTTTGCAGTAATTATTCATGTTGATAAGTTTAAGCTGTATTTTGGGGGCTTTCTCTGTCCCATCTGCTTTTTCACTTCTACTGTGCTTTTTCTTTCTTTCTTTTTTTTTTTTTGTGTGTGAGGTGTATGTTAGAATTCCACCCTTGATTCTCTATTGACTTTTACTGGCTTCTCCTGTGTTTAGTATTTAAATAGTTGTTCTTGTTGAGGAAATATAATTAAAAACAAAATCTCTTGCCAGTCTAGAAGACCTTTTCATAAAGGTGAAAGAAAAAATTTTAAAATTAAATAAGCATTAAGCCAGAATGGGATGTACATCGTTGGCAACCTATGAAGAAATTGCTAACACAGGAAATTTTTTCTCCTTTTTGTAGAAACCAAGAAAATATGTGTTTACAAGAAAAGGATAATTTGTCCTTAAGTGAGAGGATTTGCCTGTACCCTTTGTTGACATAATTCCATTATCACCACTAATTGCCTTTAAAGAAACAGTATTTAGTTTAGTGCATGGTGAAAGATATGGGTCCAATTTTAATTTTTTAAAGCCATTTATTTGTTACAGGGTCTTCCTATGCAGCTCAGACTCCTAGTGATCCTCTTGTCTCAGCCTCCCCAGCCCTGGGATTATAGGTGCGCTCCAACACGGCCATTTTCAGTAGCCAACTCGGTGCTGGGCCAGCGTGGCATGCAGTACTGGAGATTGAACCTGGCTCCTTACACTTGCTAGGCAGGTGCTTAGACCACACAGTTATCTTCCCAGCCTGGGTCCAATTTTAGTCTTCAACATATACAAAGCCAGTTTTTCCAGAACCATTTATTAGAGGTTTTCTTCCAGGGAATGTGTTTGGCATCCGCACTTTTGTCAAAGATAAGGTGGCTGAGCATATCTAGGGTTGTTTCTGTATCTTCTAATCTGTTCCATTGATCTTTGGGTCTGTTCCCCCCCCCCCCCGAGTACTCTGCTGTTTTTATCACAGTAGCTTTATAGTACAATTTCAAGTCAGGAATTATGATAACCCCTGCTTTGCCTTTGTTGCCCAGAATTGCCTTTCCTGTTTTAGGTCTCTTCTGGTTCCAAATCAATTTTAGGATTGTTTTCTTTAATTACGCCTATAATCCTAGCACTTGGGAGGGTGAAAAACAGGAAGATCACTACAAGTCCAATCTGTATAGTAAGAACCTGTACTAAATATATAATAATAATAATAATAATAATAATAATAATAATAATAAACAATTGCTGGAGAGGCTGTGGCAAAAAGGGAACCTTTCTCCACTACTGGTGGGAGTATAGACTAGTACAATCACTGTGGAAATCAGTAGGGGGGTTCCTGAAAAACTAGGATTGGAGGTCCTACTTGAACCAGCTCTTCTCCTCCCATCTCCCCAAAAGAATTAAAATCATTGTACTTTAGTGATCTATGTGCAACAATGTTTATAGCAGCACAATTTGTAACAGTCTGATCTTGGAAACACCCAAATGCCCACCCACCAATAGATAAAAAAGATGTGGTCTTTTTATACAATGGAGTTCTACTCTGCCATAAGGAAGGATAAACTTAAGGCTATCAGAGGTAAATGGATGCAACTTGAGACCACACTTGTAGGGGAACTAAATCAGCCCACATGTGTAAACATCATTGTCTCCCTAGTGTGAGATGCTGAAGAGTAAAGAAGATCCAAAGTGTACAATGGATAGTGTAAAATGGAAATAAACTGTTCAAAAGGAAAGAGAAACTGGGATGGGGGAAAAGGAAAAAAGGGAAAAGTGAATAATATATATGTATACAATGATAGTTATTATATATAGTTATACTAATTTCTCTTAGTTTATTAAACAAATGTTTGTGCTAATATTGTTTGGACAATTAAATGCCTATATCTTGAACTCTTAACTAAAGATAACATAGGTAATGTATTAACTATTGTTATTCTATTGTCTTATTTTGAAATTTTGTGTTTTTTGCCCTTTATCATTTGTCTTAAAAATAGTAAAAGAACCCAGCTTCTTTGGTCTCTGTGTTGGGTAGCTAGCGTGGGGCTCCATGCCCTTGTAGAGAGGTAAGGGTGCTATCTGCTTTAGTGTTGGCTTTTAAAAAGGGCGTCCAGATCCTTCAAAGAATCCTGCTTATAAAGCTGGTAAAAGGCTTGTTCAGTTTTTGAGGCAGGCTCTTGCTTTGCACTGCCGGCTGGCCTTGAACTTGCTTCCGTACTCCTGCCTCAGCCTCCCGAGTGCTGGGATTACATGTATGTACTGCAAAGCGTGGCTTGTTCAGTTTTTTAAAAAATTATCTCTGCAATGTTTTCTCTTTTAGACTGGTGATCACTATGCGCTCATTACTGCGTTAGATTGGAAACGGAAAGCCTAATTTAAGACTGAGTCTCAGGCAGTCACAGCAGCTAGGCTTCAGCCAGTGGCAGGCCGCCCCAGATCAGCTGGGGTGCACTTCAGGCAAATGCTGAGGTAACCAAGGTCTGTTCTCGCAGTTCGCTTTCATTTTGCCTTTAAATCTGCTTGCCTGCAGAATTCTGCAAATCTCTTCTGGTTCCGTAACAGCCCAATATCTTGAGTTATTGTTCAACTAAATGGTTCCACTTATGTATAGCTTTGCTGCAAACCAAATAATCCTAAATTTTGACCACCTCTGTGAGTCTCTCCCCTGCATATGTGAGAGGAGCAAGTCCAGGCTTTCTCACATTAATCTGTATTGTCCCTGAGCCCCAGCGGAGTGTGGCACCACCGGTGAGCTATGGTGACAAGCAACCGCAACAGCCTCCTGCACACGAGATTTCATTTCTGTGGCTTGGATGTGTGAGCTTTCTTTGGCCAAATGCATAAGGCTCCTCTGGAGGTACTTTCTGAACAGAGATTTTGGGACCCTTGGGAACCAGACTGCCAGGTGTGGCTGACACAAACACCAGGTATCCAGTGTACTGAAAGATTCAGGTCAATCGCTTGGACAGATGGTCCCTAATTTTCAACAGCACCATGGTGTAAAAGCGTGAGTTCTCAACAGGAGAACTCACAGGAAACGGAGAGGATGTGCTAGGCTGGAAGCACCTACGGCATCTTTGACTTAGGATATTTTCATTAATGACTAACACAGATATAACTCCACCCTAAACTGAGGAGAATCTGTACTTTTTTTCATTACTACTGGATATGCAATAACAAGTATTCATTGTAAATATGAAATTCATACTTAACCAGGCCATCTTATATTCCACCTTACCTCGGAAGACAGACAGTGCTCTTCCAAAGCAGCTGGCAGTATGCAGATTAATTAACACAAGTGAAAAACCCCACCAAAACCCCTTGCCTTTAGGGCGCACTGTTCCCTAACAATCTAGCTGTACTCCTCGTAAAACGCAACCGGCCAACAGTAAGACAAAGCAGATGGCACTGCTCCGGTAAGACAAGAAGACGGAATTGCTTTTATTTAAATGTCAAATACATCCTGCTGAAGAACAAATGTAAACACTAATGCAAGTCAACTTTTCAGAAACAAAATCACTTAGAACACGTGAGAAACAGGTCAGGGTCTTTAGGTGGAACTGCGTTTTATTTGTTCTAAGAACACAGGTCGCATTTACACTCTCACTCTGTAGGGAGATATTCCTGTTGCACATGGGCAAAATATGTAAGACTAGAAAAAAAAAAACACAAAAAAAAAAGAAAAACAAAAAAAAGAAAAATCACTAAGCAGAGTATAAATGACTCAAAAAAAACAAAAAAAAAACAACCCAAAAAAAAAAAAACAAAAAAAAGAAAAATCACTAAGCAGAGTATAAATGACTCCAGACCATGGAAGAGGCAACTCTCACCTCAAGCAGTGCTTTTGATGTCTTAACACATAGGTCCTGACATTTACAGTTAGTGAACCGTGCTGTACACATTCTTTTATAACACAATTCAAGTAAACGATACTTTTAAAAAGTCTACTAAAAGTATAACCCAAGTTTCCATTTCTTAGCAAGTATCTTAAAATTTAAGAAATTAAACAGTATTTAAAAATTATGAAAATCATTCTGTGGTTTATAAATATTCCTATTCATTACTGATATATATATATATATATATATATATATTTAAAAGTTATTGTTACTAGGAGTAATAAAATGTAACCTCATTTAGGAGCCAAACAACCTACGTGACTTTTCATATTTTATTTTCAATTATTTTGGTGTTTTTTGTTTTTTTTTTTTTTTTTTGAGACAGGGTCTTACTCTGCAGTTCAGACTGGCCTTGAACTCACTATATGTAACCCTGGCTGGCTTTGAACTCTTGGTGATCCTCCTGCCTCAGCTTCCCAAGTGCTGGGATTACAGCCATATGTCACCATACTTGGCCATACAACTTTTTAAAAAAAACAAGGCAGGGGCATGGTACAAACTCAGGTCAAATATTTAAGGTTCTTACGATATTTACTATTTGTGTAATAAGTTACAATCAGCTAGTCAAAGGCTTTGAGACGGCAAAATAAGACTGTAATTTGAAACTTATAATTGTAGAAAAATAGTGTTTTGGTATTTTTGGCAATTGGCTTATAAACTTCAGTTTAATTCCACCAATATATTTTTCTTTGGCAGCTCTGCAAGTCACTGAGGACATAAGGCAATGACATGGGCACTGTGCCCGCCACAGGGAAGGTGGCGGCAAACTCAGCTGCTCTAAGCTGCAGCTATTAAGGACATCCTGAGATGTTTATTCTTCTGTAGGAAATTATTATTGTAAGTAAAATTATATTTACAAATTTTGTCCCAGATTATCCAGTTGAAGTATTCAAAATTTTCATGACTACTGAGACAAGAAAATACAATGACATGTTTAAGAGCATGACACTAAGTACACATGTGTCACATGCACAGAAACATGTTTCTATTCCAGCATTTCAAGTTTATCAGCTTCACACAAATTAAAAGGAAAACCAACAACAAAACTGGGACCCCAGACTGTAGGTAGATATTTGGATAAAGGAGCTGTTGACAGAATACAGAACATCAATATGAAATATTAACACAATTCACAGAGACCCAATTGTGTTCCTGAACTTCTCACCTGGACGGTAGTGTGTTGACTTGGTAAATTCTCAGAAGACGGATTTATCCTGTCTGTTTTGTGAACAGTCTGCACAACTTACTAAAAAGCACTAACCAGCATCATCACTATGCCCACAGTGATTCAGGAAGCATTTCTGGGATATGACCCTGGAAGCAGAGATAGTGGAGGCCTTGGAGTCTCAGTGACTGAGAAAAACACTGGAGCTGAATGCATATGACCTCTGCATGTCTGGGAGGCTCGTGAAGAGCTGGGAGGATGGAAAACGTGCCGCAGTCACTGCTAGTGAGACTCTGGGTGTGTCTGTGGCTGGCTGCTGCTTAGGCATATGAATGCTGCACGGTGCTGTGCTTGGTGACTCTGGTGGAGGATGTGGTCATGGTAGACTGGGAATGGCCTGATCCCTCCAAAGCAGAATTTGGCAGAGTGCCAGGGACCCCAGCCCCAGAAACCGTGGCCTTCCCCGAGGCTTCGGAGGCAATATGGAACCTGGATTCCAGAGTAGAGGCAGGGGCCAGCACTCTTTCCGTCACGGTTACATTCTGTCCTACGGCCACATTGGGCACGGCCAGCATGGGCTGCCCGCTGGAGCCAGGGGCCAGGACACTTTCTCTTTCCCTCACCATAACGTACTGTGCCTCTTGCAGATGCTGGGCACCTTGCAGAGGATGAGGGATGCCCCCATTAGGCTGGATTACTCTTTCAGTGACCACAACATTACCCTCCCCCACATAGTGCTGATCTACCAAGGTGGAAGCCGGTGCATACACTCTCTCTGTCACGATAAGGCTCTGGGGCTGTCTGGGACCCAGGATCACAGTGGTTGGGGGCCCAGCAGAGCCTGTGGTATACGTTTCTGTCATGATGACATTACCGGAAGCCAGAGGGTCAGGAGGTGACGCTGCCTTTTGAGCCTGCCTGGAAGACACTGATCTCTCGGTGACCACTTCCTCAGTGACCTGCTCTGTGCTGGCTTCATGTAAAGGTTTGGGAGCTGGGAAGTGGCTGCCAGTGGAGTAGGCGTTCTCGGCACTAACTGTGGTTTGCTCATAGAGTGAGCGTGCGGCTGTGCTCAAGTTTGTTTCTTTCACAGGTTTTTGCCTCTGCTCAATTTCCACATCCACATCTATTTTTTGACCCAAGCAAACCTCAGCTAGTGTCTTGAATTTAAGTCCCAAGTCATCCAAGAAGTGGTCGTCCAACTCTCCTTCAATAAAACTGCAACAGCCCACGGACCCATGAAGAGATTCTGCTTCTTCCTGGGAGTAAACCAGGAGGCAGTCTTTGGCCATGTGAATGTCATCTTCCTCGGTGTAGGAGGCCGCCTTCTAAAGTGGAGGCAAAAAGAGGCAAACAATTAACAACACAAATTCACTTAGAAACAGGACTCAGTATTTAAAATGCAAAACCTGAGCCCAGGTACAAGAAAACTGAGAAATACAAATAGAAACATTGCACATCATGGCTGTGTTCTAAAGAAACACATTAATATGATAAAGAAACAAAGGCAGAGAAGACAGTTTCTGATTAAAGGAGATGTGCTTGTCAAGACATCTACGTAGAATGCAGGATTGAGGATTGAATCTTGGGCAGGAAAAGCAACTGCTATGGAAGACATTTTTGCAGTAATGGGAGAAAGCAAAATATAGATTGGGTCACTTTTAAGTTTCTGACTTTGTTAACTACTACATTAATGCAGGAGTGTGTGAGTGTATGTGTGTGTGTCAGAGAGACAGAGAGAGCGCGCGAGCGAGCGCAAGCAAACAGCGTATGTGAAAAAAATGATAATAACTGGGTAAAATCTCGGTAAAGACTACACAAAAGTTTAACTGTCTACTAGCAAATTTTCCAACCACACTGAAATTTTTCCAAACCGAAAGTTATCACACGTGCCAGACTGAGTTGAGCAGCTTTAGAGTAGAAAATGAAACAGATCGAAACAATAGCAACAGGGACCAGACCTGAGCTCGGCTGTGAGACTGCGGAGGGAGAGACAACAGCTTTCATGGCAACAGCATGAGGCTGGCTCAGCCAAGGGACCTCAGGAAAGAAGAGGGGTGGAGAGGAGCCACACACTCCAGTAATTTGCAAACTCAGAAGAAAGCGGCAGCAATGAACCCTTTTGCTCTTGTCAGGGGCTCTGGAGATTCCTGACACTCCCACCGTCTCTGGGGACACAGGGTACCTACCTTCAAGGCAGGCAACCAGTGTTGGATTTTTTTCTTCTTCTTCTGATTACTATGCCTCTAAGATCTGTAATTCATTTCTGATGTTGATACTTTGTGTCTACTTCTTTTGCAGCCTAACAGGCTGGTTAAGAGGTTTATTGATTTTATTAATCTCTTTAAATAGCTTTTGGTTTCATTGCTTCCACCTTTTGTTTAACGTTTAATAACTTGATTTTTTTTTTTTTTTTTTTTTTTTTTGTGGTACTCAGGATTGAATTTGGGACCTTGTGCTTGCAGGCAGAAAGGTGCATATGCCACTGAGCTATATCCCTGGACATTGTTTAATGTTTAATAACTTAGGTGGACACTCAGGTTATTGATTTGTGGCCTATCAAATATTACTATTTTTCTTTTTTTTATTTTATACAAATTTTATTCTTCTTTAAAAATGAACCACCTATAGTGATTTAAAAGTTTAAAGGGGTAAATATTGTGTATAGATGTCAAACACTACAAACTGAAATAATTTCTTCTCGTTGGTTGGTGAAAAACAGAAAAAGCCTTAGTACTCATATATTTAACATTTGAGATTTTTACCTAAGTAAGGAGTTCCGAGTCCATGACATGGCAGTGTAGGGTTTTTCTGAGGTACAATCTGAACACATACCCAGGGATCATAACTATCCCCTCAACTAGTTTATGAGCCTGACCAGCCACTGCTTCTGTAATTATGATTTTTTAAGCATTTCATCTCAGGAATCCAGTGCAACAGTAGTAGAAGCGCTCCACAAACTTAGCGCACACCTATGAATGTCAAAAATTTATTTTACACAGAAATTATGTAAGGAGTTTCAAAAGATCTTCATTCTGTTTTTAAAAAATACTATTATCCCCCTCGTAAGGACATAAAAGATGCCAGAAAATTTATAATTTCTAAAATGTTGGTGTAAGATATATTCTGAATATAATCAAAGGGTTTAGGAAGGAAACTAAACACAACGTGGGTTTGAAGAAAAGTTCATGATCGAGGGTTCTGGTAAGAGTGTTCTCCGGCAACAGTCCTACCCTCTGTGCACTATCTTACAGATTCTCTATTAGAGCAATAGAAAAGGATGTTGGAGAAATTTAAGCCGCAGCCAAGAAGACATTTCCTGTATTTGCTTCATACTTCTTTAGAATGTCTCAAATTTCTTTTCTGCTTGAAAATAGGAGAATTCAGGAAACACAAATCTGTGAAAGGGTCTCCTCAGTTTCGAAATGAGCATCGGCTCCTTATAGTGCACACTGCCTGTGCACCGGCGCTTGGGGAGACTCATGGGTGTGCTTTCCTTACTCCTTTTTGGAGATGGAGAAAGTCTCCTGATTTTTACTTGAGGAAACAAGAGAACATTGGTGCTATCCTTTAGGCTACAATTCTGTGATGAAGGTGATGGGTGAGTCTTAGATGTTGTACTAGTAGGAGTTTTTGTTGGCGCTGACTCCTCCGTCTCCTGTTCTGTGCCTTTTTGTTCTCTTTTAGAGCGTGGCCTGGTGACAGGCCTCTCTGATGTGCTTGCGCGACCTGGACTGTGTTTGCACCTGGGCACGTAGACATCCTCAGAATCGTCTCCAGAACTGCTGGATTCACAGGTGCTCACTTCAGATTACTGTTGTTTTCTTCTTTATTACAATCAGTGTTTGTTTTTTGTCGGAAAGGACTGAGATGAATGCCCTCTTCCAAATTAAAGTTGTAAGCATCAGTGGAACTGCCAGATTCACCCAAGTTTTGAGAGCAAACAGTTGTTTGATTGTCACTTTTGTTCCGTTTATACTTTGATGTATACTTAGATCTTATTCTCCTAGTTTTTTCACCTTTTTTCTTGGTCGTACATCTTTATGCTTGCTTTTTTTTCTCAGATTTAGATTCTAAAATGATCCCTTTCATTCTGGTACATTTTCCTGGTTGAATCAGCCTTGGTGATTAATTTTGTCTTTGTTCCACTGACAAATATTTTTTTCTTCATTTTTTGGTATGTGCATCTTTACTACTGGGTCTACATAGCTGATTCTTTCCAATTCAAAAGGCTTCCCTTCCAAATGACTGGTCTCAAAATCATCCAAGGTATCAGACTGCCTCAGAGCATTAAACTGCTCCTTTATGTGGCGACGGAGTGATACAGGCCTTGGTAAGACATCAGCAGCAGGCTTAGCTTCACCTGAATCAAAATCAGAGCCTACTGTGTCTTGAGGAGTGGGAAGCATTTGCTCTTCTATTTAGAATGATCCTCCATGTCCAGGAAGGTCATTTTCTTGAAAAGGATCTTGCAGTAAATCCTTTGCAAATAAGTCCTTGAGGTTGTCACCATTATTGGAGTCATTCCTGAGAGATATATTTCCTGGTTCTGAGCAGTATCTTCCATTTGTTGTGAAGTCATTTTTTCAGTGCATAGAGCTGACATGTAAGGTAGTAACATTCTTTTCTTAGCTGTAGGATGATAACCTGGGCTTCTCTTACTTGGATTTTTCATTTTTCAAAGCTAAAACTAACATTCTGTTGTTATCCTGGTAATTTTTCAGCAGTGTACCAGTGCTGGTGATGACTTGGCATGGTGCAGGGATAAAGGACCTGCGCTTGCCAGCCTCTGCCAAGTTTTTATTCCTTTTCTCTTTCATTCGCTTCTTTAAGTTTTCAAGACTATCCTGAAAGAACTTTTTCTGGCATCTTTCCTTGGCCATCTTCTGCCTGTGATACTTTTGGTTCTGCAGCTTTAAAATCTTATTACTATCTGGGCACTGTGCTGTGCACCTGTAATCCCAGCTATTCAGGAGGCTGAGGCAGGGCGGTCATGAGTACGCGGTCAGCCTGGGCAACACAGCAAACCCCATCTTGGGCCGGGACTTCTGCAGCCGTCGCCCTTTTCTTCACATTCCAAGGCTGCGCGAAGCCGTCCACCAGGCGCAAGCTCCGCATTCCAGTGTTGCCCGCTACTCAAATATTATTTTTTTTGTAATTTTTTTCTCCAAAATATTACTTTAGCAGTGTCTCACAAATTTTGATAAAATACGGTTCAATTTTTCAGTCAGTTCAAACTGTTTACTAATTGTTCTTCTTATTTTTTCTTTTACTCCTGGGTTATTTAGAATGTGAAACAGCAGTTATTTGATTTTACGTATCACTCTATTACTGATTTTAGGTTTAATTTCTTATTGTTAGATTATGCTGCACAACTGAAATCTTGCTAAATTTTAAAAACAAGAATGTATATTCTGCTTTTATGGCTATCAAATGTTGTATTAATGCCAAGTGGATCCAGCTGAGAGTTATACATTTTCTACATCCCTGCTGGTTTCCTGCTTTTCTTTGAATTACCGACAGAGGAGGTTGAGATTTCCAACTGTGGTAACGGACTTGTCTGTTTCTCTTTTAGTTCTATCATTTTTGCTTGAACATTTTAAATTTCCATTGTTGGGAACTGACATTTAGAAGTGCTAGGTCTCCACAGGAACTGATCCAGCTTCCGTTACAACCTAAACACCCTTGATTGTTCCTGCCAGTGAAACGCGTTCTGAATTCTGTTGTCTTGAAGAGGCATTTGTTCTTCAGGCCTGCTGTTAACTGCTAATTCCAGGTAAATGCTTCTGGATTGCATCTGATCATTTTTCCTGTAACTTTCCTCATCATTTTTCATAAACTCCCCTAATAGGGGTCCTGCATACTGAACGAATGCCACGCTGTTTATTATCATCAATGCATGCAAAATTTAAATGGATTTGTGATTTTTAGACCATCTGTGCTCTGCCCCTTCCTCCTGGGTTTGTACTTTCAACCCAGGGTTTGCACCCTCACGTGACTTTCTCTGACCAATGGTGTGCGACTGTAAAACATGGCAGAGGCGTCACATGCCATGGCCTAGGCCTGCGGCTGCTCTTTTCCCAGAGCCACACGGACACCTAATGGGTCTTGGGTCTCACCACCCACACTTTACCAAGAAAATAAAAAATTCCCAAAGTCCTACATTGGTTGCCCTAATACCGCCACAATCCCATATGAACACCCTCCTTCCCCACATAAAACCAAGCCTTACATCAGTGAAATAATTTCTTAAGAACTCCTCGCTGACCGCGCCAGCTGCAGCAGCGGCTCGGGCTCCGGCCACCTCTCTGGACGCCCCCAGCGCTCTCATGGACCGCGCAGTCTCGGCTCCGAGCGCAGCTCCCATCGTCCTGGAGCCCTGGGTGGCCCCGCCGGCGAGGAGGCTTCTGTGTTCCTCCCATCTGCTGTCCATCTCATTCAAGTCGTGCTGCACTCTGGAAAAGGAGGCAGAGCTGCTTCCTTTCGCGGTGGCTTCCTTGGTCACTGCGCCCCCCACTCCGTTCCTCACTGCTAAGTTCTCCCCGTGATCCACCGCCAGGAGCGACGGCACCACCTGTGTGCAAACGCAGAGGACAGCAGGGTCAGCATGGGGGCCAGCACAGCTGTGAGCAGGATCAGAGCTAAGCTGGCATAAGACGGGAGAGGCTTTGCCCCAGGGTGACCCAGCAGATATATTGGGTTGAACAACTTCCATGTGAGTCTTGCAAAGGTCTTCATTCTGCCTGCTTTCATAGCTAAGTACAAATCAGAAATGAAAACCAAGCTTGCTCTATAGTCTCAGCTCATTTACTCCCGTGGGGCCAATAGCATTTTAACCTTGCTCTGGGGTTTCATGCCTTCTGCTATGGTTAAAGAATCCTCAATTTTGTTTTTAGCTGGACACACAGTCATTCGGAATAAGGACGGTAGGCAGGTGTGATAGTGCACAGCCATAAGCCTAGTACTCTAGGCAGCTGAGGTAGGAGAGCTATAATGTGAAGCTCAGTCTGCACAATTTATCGAGGTCTCAAAAAGCAAAGGCAGGAGAGACTAGGAATATATTCAGTGCAATGGCCCTGGGCTCAAGCCCCAGTGAATCAAGCAGAAATGGTGTATGCAACTCGGGAGAAATGTGTCTACCTCTACAGCAGTGTCTACCTTCATTCTCTCCTCATTCTATAGTTTGAATGTGAAGGCAGTGAAGTGTCTAGAATATTAGGATAGCGCAGGACTGAACATCATCAGAGGAGGAGCAAGGAGAGGAAGAGCCCGGGGTCGGAGGGGCCACATATACTGTTGCTTTGAGTCTCTGACACTTAATGCTCAATCATGTGCTATTAGGGGTGGCACACATGGGTAATGAAGGTGGGAGATCCAGCGTGAAGATTAGCAAAGTGACAGGAGAGACTCACAACATTAAATAGGTGAGGGGATCTCACAGTTTTTTGTCATGGGGTTGGAGGTTTATTTCTGTCATCTGTATGTATGGAAGGCAACAGAAACAGAGGACTTTCTGGTTGTGAAAACTTTGCCATTTGATATTGGGAAGAAAATTTCTATCCTGGATTGCTATGCAGCTTTGTGTGTGTGGTAGTGAGGCTAGATTGTGTCACCCTGAATGGCTTGGAGACCCCAAGGGGAGCGGAGAGCACACTTATGGGCATGACTGGGTGCGCCAGGGAAGTGTGACCTTGGCACTGCAACCGGTCTCTCGCTCCTCCCTCTCTGCACTGTCCCCTTCCTCTGCTTCCTGGCCAGAATACATTAAGCAGCTTGCTTCACTGTCCCCTTAGCCATGATGTTCTTGCCTTGTGTTTACCAGATCACAGACTAAATACCTTGAGACCACAAGTGAAATTAAATGTTTCCTTCTTGGTAAGTATATATATACATATTTTTTTTTTTTTCAGAACCAGGGATTGAACTCAGGCCCTTGCGCTTGCCAGGCAAGTGCTTATTCTACTGAGCCATCTCCCCAGCTTCCTTCTTGGAATGACGCACATCAGGTATTATTTGCCAGCTACGGGGAAGCTAATACTTTGTCTCTGACCCTTGCTCTACATTCTGAGTCTCTCCCAACCATGGTTATATTTTCATTAACACATCACATATCATAATGTAGTAAAACCACCTTATCTCTGTCTTGGAAACCAACATAAAATACACTGCTGTTAGAAGCCTCTGCCTCACAAAGGCGTGTGCGTAAAATGCGTAATGACTACTGTTGGGAGAACAACTGGCTTTTGCTCTGCTCTCACAACACGGTGACCAATGAGGACTTCCATGACCTCACAGCATTTCTTGTGAGGATTTCTCCCTAGCAGGAGGTGAGCAGTCCATTCTTCAGCACACTCCAGTTAGGACCCTCTACGTCCGCTTAATATTGGCACTATCTGGAGATGGTGTCAGGTCTCAGATGGAGAGGGCTGTGTCCCCCTGACCACCTTTCAGATGTGAAGAAACTATCACTTCCAAGGTTCCAAGGACTGTGGGAGTCGCCCAGAAGGAAATGGGAATGCGCAGCACATATATATCTCCCAGTATTACTGTATGATTATTGTATGATTTGCTCATGACCAAAGATATTAGAAACCTAAGCCCCCTGTAAGATTAGAAAAGGTAAGATGCCAAGTTGCATGGTTTTCCAACAAACTGACCTTGTCTTCAGGGGGTGCCCCTTCATTGTTCCAAGGGTGCAGCATCTCTATAGTGCCAGGTATGGGGGTAAAGCCCTTGGTGCCCTCTCCGCAGTGACAAAGCAGCAGCAAAAGTGGCACCACTACACAGAAGCAGAAGACAGCGCAAAGAAGGTTACGCCTGACACATTGCTAGTGAGCTGTACAACTGGAATTTGCACATCCCTTGATTCAGTGTTTTCCTTTACCCTCATCCAACCTCTCCAAGTTTGCTTTGGATGAGTGACACCATCCAAAGTCAATGAGAACTTCTGTGACATCACAAGCCTTTCTTATGAGGATTTCTCCCCAGCAGCAAGTGAGCAGTTGATTCTATAGCACACTCCAGTTAGGACCTGCCCCTTGACTGACAGGTGTAAAAAGCCTTGTTCCTCACAAACAGACTGTCTATGGCACTAAAAATAGTAAAAATGCATGAGGTGAAAGGAAGTTAGCAAAACCAATGCAAAGACTAAATTTTTAAAAACTATTTCCCTAAAGTGATTTTTTTTGGGGGTAAATTCACTAACCAACAAGAAATAATTACAAAGATCAAAAGCTCTTAAGAGAGAAAAAATCAACATATTTCAATATTCTAGAACACCGGAATTGTTAAAATACATTAGAGTGAAATTTTGCACAAGGCACACTTCTCTGAGGTCTCTATTAACTTTTTCCACATGATTTTGCACAGTCACTGTAGCTTCTGTGATTAATCTAGAGTCTGAGGTCAGCCAGTAGTGACTCAACAATTTCAACATATTCAATAAACACTGATCAAATTGTCTGTCATGTGGCAAGAGTCACTCTAGGCTCCAGGGAATCTGAGATAAAAGGTAGCACAAGGATTCCTCAGGGAGAAGCCACAGTCCCAGCTCCAGGAGGTCCTGAGGTGGGTCATTTTCTCTCAGGTGTGTCTAACTGTAAGGACCTGTGGCAGGCAGGCAGTGGCCTGCAGCTGTGCCGTAAGCTGTGGAGTGCTGTGTGTTCCACGGGACCCCTGCTACTGGCTCTAATGGAATCCTCCCTGAGAGTGAAGAGTGCTGCATGGAGGTGCTCGCCCAGGTTCAGGGTGGCGGGGAGGGACTGCACATCCTCTCTGCTTGGCGCTGGCTGCCCGTGGACTGAGAATGGCGGGCACCAAAAAAGCCTCTCCATCCTTAGGGTGTGGGTGCTGGGTAAATTGTTCTCATGCTGGGAAGTGACTAGGAAAGCCCTGTAACAACAGGATTCTGCGAACTTGCCAATAATTGGTGACTATCTTTTCTTAGTCATCCTCAGGAGTGTTCAAGAATAACCATAAGGAAAACAATGGCTGCTAGTCTGAAACTGTCGGGAGTGCACTCCAACTACTAAGGGAGCTGAAGGGCGGCCCTTGAGACTCACAGAGCAAGAGCAGGAGGGCCAGGAGGATGAGTGCCACGGCCGCAGGCCCCAGGCCCACGTACGAGTCGCGCTGCGCGTCCACGCAGCCGCTGCCCTGCAGGCACTCGCACACCGTGAGCTGCAGGACCTGCGTCTCTGGGCAGCTGAAGCCCTGCGTGTCAGCGATCAGGAAGGGAACTTCGCTTCTCCCGAGCTCGCGTTTGCTCTGCTCTATCAGCACACTGGAACCTGCCGGCAGGAGAGGAGGGAAGAAAAGACGCGTGAGCCCCAAGGAGAGGGGGAGGCCGGACTGCAAGTTCCAGACACAGCTTCCCCATGGGAAGCCTGAGTTTTCTTTAATTTCTTCTTGGATTTATGCTATACACCTGTTAGAATTTGTTGGCAGACTTCAAATACACAGCTTAAAAAGTGAAGGATCTGATTTGGACATTTTATTTTTATGAGGATTAATTTTAGCTGATAGAAGACAGTGCAAACAGGCGGTGAGTTAAGTAACACAGGGTGACTTTTGTCTTAGCTTTTTTTTTTTTTTTTGGTGGCACTGGGGATCGAATCCAGGGCCTCGGTAAGCAGCTTGACTTCATTACAATAAATTGCTTGTATTCTTTGCTTTGCAGGTGGTAAGTACAAGAATGTCTGACGTATTTACCTATTAAATTTTCTGAATTTAAACATTTTCTCAGGTAAAACAGATGGAAGCTACTGCTTATCCCAGCAGCTGACTGGTCACCCTCTTACATACCCATGAAGAAAGCCTGGGCTACAGAATGCGCTGTCTGTCAATTGCATGATCAATAAAGAACAATCTCTGGCACTTCCTGTTACAATTCTGTGACACAGGTCCTGAAGTTTTATGTTCCTAAGACTATGACAATTTAGGAACTCATCAAGCTGAAACACAGCACAGCACCCAGCCAGTGTAGGGTTCAGAGCCACATGCCTGGGCCAAACCCAACTCTAGCTCTTAATACCTGTGGTCTTGGGAGTGGGTAAACCTTGCTGAGTCTCTGTTTCCCTATTTGATGATCATAATACCAAACTTCTAGAGCTGTTCATATTAAAAAATGTTTAAGACAATGTCCAGCAAATCCTAAGCCCCACAGATTTCTCAGAGAAAATAAATGTCTTGGAATTCCAGCAAGGTCCATATAAAATTCATTTAGGTATCTTGCTCAGAGAAAGGTAAACTCCATCAAACATTTATCCTGCTGGGAATCCCAGGCCTCACTAAGTGTAAGTTGAGTATTTCTCAGGTTTTGAGCCCTGTCATGAAGACTAACTTGGATCCTGGGCCCAGGGATCACACCGCTGAAAACGTGAGCAGTGATTGATCATTGTCCTTTCCGGGAGGCCAATCTTGGCGAACCCTGGGCATAACTGACTGCTTCAAGTGAACACACCGTTATGGCTTGTGTCTAGATGGCTCCTCAAGGCCTCAGATGCTCAGCAGAAGAGATTTTCAGAGGTGACTGGACCTAGAGGGTGTGGTGCTGGGATTGAAGGTTTTAATTACTAAATCAGTCCACTGACTGGTTTGGCATACTGGCAGGATTAAGGATGTGGAGCGCTACACCTGCCCTAGAACAGACAGCTTGCATAAAATATAAGGGACAGAAAGAGGCCCTCACCTGCCTGTTTGCTGTATACTATTTCTTCTCTTTGATGCCCTTCTCCCGTGCCATCCTGCCTGGGAGCCATTTGACTATGAACTGAAACCTCTACAAACTGAGCCAAATAAACCTTCTCTTTTTTAACTTTGGGTGTTGGGTATTTTTTCTCAGCAACAAGAAAAGTAACTGGGACACACATAAATCCCAAGAAGAACTGCCATCAAATAAAAGAACACTTAAAGTAAGTCAGGCATACTTTCAAAATATTTTTGTGTTCTCAGGAATTTATTAATATTTGTTTTACTAAGAAAATGTCTAGCAAAAGTAGCCCCACTAGCATCTCAGCTATGTAACTCCAATTTAAAATGTGTGGCTGTGCTACTGACATAGGTGTACGGCTCTAGACTGAAATGTCACTGTTTTGTTCAGCATTAGGGCTAAGGAGAATTCTAGGATCAACACACAAGTTCAATTTACTGGAAGATTG